ATAACTGTGACACCATAATATGCACTGCCTGATAACCTGTAATCTAAGGATGATAAAGACAATCGAAAGGCGCGTCGTTGTGGTGCAATTGGAATATGGTTTGAGTTTTCCCCATGCACCACTGGCCTATAAAATTGGGCGTTATCGCTGACAAGATAGCGCTCGTTTCGATGGCACGAACGTTTTCCTAGCAGCCTACAAAGGTTGAGGCAAAGAACAAGTTTCTATTCAACAACATTGGTTTGCATTGCCCTTTCGACCGTTTCTATCACTTTTTGCTAGTTTGAATTCGTGCAGGATGTTAGATATATGTTTTTCTTTTTGAATATATGTTTATGACGTCCTCGGCAACAAATTTTATCACTTTTTTGCTGTGAGCTTGTCCCTCTTTGACCACATTGGTTGCAGACGTATTTGCGTGTTATTGATACAGAATTGTCTTTGGTGTAAAGGTTCCAGATTCCAGATAGACTGCTCACGATAAAATGGTAAGATCCTACATAGGCTACTGTGCTAGATTAAAAACCAGTAAAAGCTGTAAAAGATAAAACTCTTGGCGTTGATCAATCTCTGAGGGATGCGCCATGCATTCGACTTCATTAAGTATCTTTGACGGTGATTGAATGGATATTTGGCCTTTACAATGACTCGCGGTGGCCTATCGATGTATCGAGCCAGTGTTGCTATCCTCCCAGATGAGTCTGGTACCAATTTCCCTACCATGGAATGTTGGAAGGCTTGGTGGACCATGGGCACGGGGATCGATTCCACGTGCTTGTCGCAGTGGCGCATCCAACCACTGCGCCACACGCGTCCTTAAAAATTTTGGAAAAAACCAGTATCTGTCATAATTCTGCGCTCTTGACATTTCGTGGTAGGGTCTTTCAACGAAAGTTCGCTAAGCCATATTTGTTTTTACAAATTTACATCCACAACATTACTTGCATTTGGTGTATTTTCTTAGGGTGCAAACATCCCGAATTGAACTTTTATTTTTATAGGTATACGGTCGCATTTGAATTAATATAATCCAGAGGCTGTTAGCTAGGTAGTAAATGTGTGCAACACTAAATGAAATAAATTCAAAGACCTTATGACACCTACCTTAGCTGAAACAACGGCTTTCTTGCGCTTTGGTTGCCTCTGGAAAGAAGACGGCATCTTTTTAGACAGGACGATTTTCAGGTGGAAACGAAAGTCGCTACCTCATCGCTCCCACTACGGAAGCAAAAATATAGACAGCCAAAGATTACAACAAATCCTGATGCGCATGCCCCTCCAACACCTATTCGTATACCTAAAAAATTTATGTGGGGACTTAAACAATTGTTTAACAATAAAAACTTGCATTCACGTTCCTTCTATGTTTAATTAGGAATTTGTGGAGTGCGAGAAGCATAGTGGCAGAAATAGTGTTCAATAATAGGCGCAAGCCTTCTCGTCCGAACCCGAACCGGTCCAACAAGACCTTCTATAATACCGTGGACGTGACATTGGAGTTGTATTTGTTAGCAAGAGCTTCGTAAGGTTCATAGAAACTTATCACATCGTGTATTGAGCAGCTAGAGACGCTCTGGCATCGCCATCCCAGAATTCTATGGAGACGAGTCATAATAGAACATACGTGATGGATTCCTTCGAATTTACCATCTTTTACACAAAAGTCGAATAACTCAGCAATGCAGGCCATCCAGGAGCTCCTTTTGCAAGAACACATAACAGCCGAGAAACATTGAATAGAATACGTGTTTTAGCCACTTTCAATTTGAATCAACATATCTCAGCTCGTAGCGCACTTTAATATTTTAAATAAGAGATTAGGGAATCTGGAAATCTTTGCCTATAAGGTAAAGTTCTTCTTGTTCTACCACAGTGAGATCCCAGATCTACTGCGTAAACGAAATATATTCGTTCCGTTTTATTGCTTCAACACTTTCAACGCACAATCGATTGTTCACGTTGGATTTTGCAGGCCAGGACAAGTTGCTACTCAATTCATGGCTTATGCTGGCAGTTAGCAATTTTTGGTTAGAAAATTTAGAACTTGAAAATTATTTTTCGACCTTTTAAGGATCTATGCTCCAATTAAATTGGAAATAATACTGTATAAAAATCATATATAAGATTAAAGAGATAGGATGAAGCCTTCTCAAGTCCTCAAATGGTAGAAAGATGACCATTCGTCGGCGTAGTGTGTTAATCAAATTAAGGGCCAGTAGAACTACCCAATTTTGCCAACGAGTTTACCTTTCCAGTAGCGGTAGATTCGGCAACTCTAAAAAGCGGTGGGCATCATTTCTTGAACGCATCATCAGCGGTTTCTTTGGTTAAGTCTTCTCCAAGCCTTAGGTACTATTGGCAGGTGTGCTTCATAACGGTAATAAGAATAGTGTAATTCTCGACGACGCTATTTCAATTGTCCCCGACTTGGGGTGAGTACAAAAATACAGACAACAGTTGACAAAATGGTGCTCCTTGGTGTTGAACTACAGAGTGCAAATAGCAGTTCTACTTCACTAAAACCATTAATGCTGAGAAAAAGTTTAGATTTGAAATACCATCAGAATACCAGGTGTTGCCGCGGCTAGCATACTGTCACACCAAAACAGTAAAGAGATTCATGTCAAAAGTGGTATCGTCTGTTTTCGCACCACTGGAGGGTTCACCAATGGTCTCTAGGTAACTCGATGATTTTTGATTTTTGGTAAACCACTGCTAAGGATGTGGTTAGCAATTATGAAGTTTTAAGCACTGTCGACTCGGCATAACTTCAAATCTCTTAAATGCCACGCATCACCCGTATCACCTGCAGTCCCCTTGGTCGTCGAGTGGCTCGAGCGGGAGCCTGTAAACCTTCCATTTTTCACTGTCGAGTCAGTTCATGAGTAGTCCAGCGGGTTCTGCTCACTCTAGGGACTCGTCAAGCATCATGTCTTTCTTCCAGGCTCTTCGTGAAGAACACTGATCATCGGATCGGTGGTCTTCCTGTAGTACGTTTGACATCCAGAGGAATCCAATCACTAATGTCATTCATACGCATTGCGTTTCCGGTCCACCTTATCTTCGATAACGCAGATCGGAGCTTCGGATCCCATCCCCTGCTTACGTGGAACGGGACACCTCTAGCATCGTCCTTTCAACTGCGCGTTCGATAACGCTCAGTGACCATTCATTTTGCTTACGCAGAGATCAGATTTTTGACGCGAACGTTAGAGCAGGAGGTACCGTTGAGTCGAAAAGATGTGCACGGAGTCTGGTGCTTTTTGTTCTCTTCACTTGTTTATCCTCGATGCTCTTGAAAGCTCCCTAAGCAGCTCGTTTCCTTCTGCTCACTCCGGAGCTGGGTCGTCAAGCATATGTTCCGCTTGGCGTTATGAGGACGATGTCATCAGCAAGGCGACGATGGTGTAACTGTCGACCATCGGTTTTCGCTCGCTTATTATCCAATTCTAATGTTCGCATGATGCTCTGGAATGTGGCGGTGAACAATTTTGGCGAGATGGTATCACCTTGCCTAACTCCTTTTTTGACGTCAATGTCAAAATCTTTGCAGAATTATGATACCTTGGTTGTGAAATTTTTGTACAGCTCACGAAGGATTTTTACGTACTGAGTAACTCCCGTCTCCTCCTAGGACTCCTTGACTATCAAGAGCTTCCAAGACTGCTTCTATATCAACTGAATCAGAGGTCTTCTGTAAATCGATGAAAGTTAGACAGAGCGCTCTTTTGTACTCCCGCGACACTTCATTGAGCCGTGTTACCGTGTTGCCCATCGTACTAAATCCTCTTCGAAACCCTGCTTGCTCACATGGCTCTCCTTGGTCTAGTGTTCTGTCAATCCTGTTTAGGATGACTAGAGTGAAAAGTTTGTAGACGACAGACACTAAACAGATTGGGCGATAGTTGCCGATATCGTGTAGGCCGCCCTTTTTGAACAATAACGCGATCTTGCTGGTCTTCCACTGAGTAGGGACCTTGCATTAAGTCAGGTAACGTGTGAAGAGCCGAGCCAGTGTGTTTACGAAGACTGGAGGAGGTTTCTTCACGTGTTATGATCTTATGCTGTCCGGATCTCATGCTGTTCGATTTTCACCGAAGAAATGGTATGTCGGATTTCGGAAGGGAGAATCGACGGTGCTACATATGTATCCTATCTTGTTTCATATGACGGATGGTGAACAGGGTTATCGAAGAGATCTGAGTAATATTCGTGAATAATTTTCTCCATTGCCTTTCTGGACGCTGTACATGTTCCACCTGGGCGTCGGAGTGCAATGATCCTGGTCTTGTAATTGGCGAAGCATCGGTGGGCTTTGCGAATGCTTTTCCCAGCCTTTGCAGCTTCGACCATTGCTGCTGCTCTTCTCTCTTTAAGAACTTTTATCGCTTGTCCGCATTGTTTTGCAAGCTCGGACGTTAGTTCGCGGTTGCCTGCAGCTCGTGCGATTCCACGCTGGCGTACAGCTCGCATGCTTCTGGAGACAGGCGTATCTTGGTAACTTTCGAACTCTCAGCTTTCATAGCGTTAGCTTGAAGATGTTGAATGAGCCGATCGCATTCTTCGGCGACGTTATCGACAACGGCATCTCAACAACCGGCTAATGAATTGAATAAATCCCAGTTTACAATGGTTCTGGGACTTCGGTTTTGGAATTTACCGGCTTTTTCTCCTTTTTGCGAGAAATAGAAGCTTGCACGATGGATTCTTTTCATTCTAATCCGTGGGTTCCAATGTGAGATGTTGAGACGTTGTTGAGAAATCGTTGAGACGTTCTTCTTAATCCAATCTTGGCGTTCAACTCTCCAATGATGACCTTGACGAATGTATGGTCTTGTATGCAGAAGTTCTCCCATCTATACCGAACATCTCGACTTCTTCTTCGTCATAGTTTGATGTCAGAGCGTAAACAGCGAAGATTGTAACAGCCGGAATTGATCCACGTCTTTTTAATCGTGAACGTCCGATTCGGGTTGTAAGTTGTTCGCATGAATCGATGTTCATGGACAAACTCGTGTTGATGAGAACGCCGACGCCGCCGAGTCACTGTCGCATGTTCCGAGGAACGGCTCTTCTCCGGTATCATAGACGACGTTGAATGAGTAGCGCCGTCTCGTCTCGGCCAGGCCGATGATGTACTTTATCCTTCTTGCTTGCATGAGCAAGTCCTCTACCGACGACTCGAACTCAAGTGTACGTGCATTGTAGGCACATATCGTCACCATGATCGCCACCATAGTTCTTTTATATCCAGGTGGCTTCCATTGGCCCTGAGATTTTAGCAGCTTCTCCGTACTCTCCCTACCCAACGCTGCGAAATTGGGGGCTTTTTCGGGGTCAGGAGAATGAGACCCGTTCTTTTTTTACTGTGTTTAGCATCTTTGATACCCACGTATAGCTTGCTGGGTTCTGAACGTGGGACTGGGTATACTCAAGGGTAGCTTGCTAGGCTCTTCCAGAGTGGACATGGAGCTGATTTTGTAGAGGCGACTCCTAAGTCTCCCATATACTTCCTAGTTACTTGATTGCAGGCTTTTGGCCGAATTGACTCGTAGAATACAATCCGCATAATCAAGAACGCACCCACACACGCATGCATGAATACGCCTAGCAAATACAAAAAGTATGTGCCAAATTAGCGCAGCAGAAACAGGGAGTCCCTCCCCTGGATCCACCTGCGTCTCGGGGAAGCAAAGGTCGCTTTTGGACTGTGAATAACCTCCTATCAGCCACCGGGGGACGAGCCACATAGCCTGGCGACTAACCGGCTCGAGATGCCTGATAAGAGGGAGGTCTGTATTGCTACGCATATTGAAATAAAACTGCTCACCAATAGTTTTCCAGTCGTAGATGTTAGTATGCTCTTCATCTGGAGTCGTAAGAGGAATGTCTGCAATAAAAGCTGCTGTGATCAATTAATTAGTTAGCTCAGTCGTTTTCTTCACGTAGGCTCGGTACGAGAGGATCAGAATTAGTTTCAACAATTACAACAACAGACAACATCTACAAATGACTACTTTGCACAACTAGAAACTACAGTATTAAATATCAATGGTCCAGTATCCTACTAAAGAACCTTCACCAAGGCAATCAACTTCTAGTTGCTTTGGTCTATAATGTCTTCCTCCCAACGGTTGACCGACTCATCGTGTATTTCTGGGTGTCGAGCTGCGATTTACAGTGGGGTGATTCACCCGCTCCCTGCAGGATCTGCCAAACTGAGAAGTCCGGCGTTTCCATCAGGAAGCCCATCTAAGTGTAAACCATTACTAGGATCCATCATCGTCATGATATCAAACTAGTCGTATGGTGGCAAATCTCTCTCTGATCCACACGGGCTGCGACTTCCTCTGGTAATGACAACCTGGGGCAGACTTTGGTCAGGCTGTCATCGGGGTCCAAGGAACCACAATGGCTAAACCAGCAAATCTCCGAAGTATGGAAATTATGCTGGGGTCTACAGAACCAGTGAGGCCGGGCCATCCAAGTGTCCAGAAATCCAAGTATAATGTTTTAATAAACCTTTTACTATATCACGCATTTTTGGTTAGTTTCTACATTCAATCAGAGGTTTAATTAATGACGAAATAGTTGAAAAAACACACCTGTGTCATTGTCTCTATGTGGTGCATATACTAAAATATATAGGAAAAACTGCACGGCTAATCTATACATCTGCAATTATTGTTATGTATAGGATATTATAGGCGGGCTTTGAACATCCTCTCAGCTCAGTTATGATTTAAATTGCAAATTAGAAAATCGTTGAACTCTGTTTTTGCTTTGCTTTGTCTTAGTTTTCCCTCTCTCTGTTGGTTTATTATTGCTAAGGAAAGTGGTAAGCTTATACATCAAGACTTATCTTCTACTTAACTGAAATGCAGGATTACTTTACTTCTGAGCAGATGATTCATTGGAGCAAAGATATTAAAGAATTTGTAAATAAAGCTTTAAAGGATAAAGGATAAAGATCTTGGCGTTGATCAATCCCTGAGGGATGCGCTATGCATTCGACTTCATTAAACATCGTTGGAGGTGATTGAATGAATATCTGGCCTTTACAATGGCTCGCGGTTGCTTACCGATGCATCGAGCCGGTGCTGCTATCCTTCCCAAACAAGTCTGGTACCAATTTGAAGACTCCGGAGGGATTGAAAGCATGGTGGGCCATGGGCTCGCGGATCGATTCCACGTGTGTGTCACAGTGGCGCCTCCAACCACTGCGCCACACGCGCCCACAAAGGATTTGTAAATACACTGCATAAATCGGTTTGTTTAGCAGTCACTCCAAATGTTTTACATTTTGTTTTACACTTTTAAATTTTTACACTCCTTCACTAAACAACGTATTCATGTGAGTTGGTTAACCATCAAATCATTACATTGTTTCTTCACGGAAGAAAGCAGTTAAGCTATCGCTGGCAACAATTACGGTACCTGAGTTGCTGTAAGCCGAACGGTCATATGTGAAGTAAAAATGTAAACCTGTACATTGAAATAAAACCTACTGACTTCATCTGTAGGTTCTGCTGCCGCTAAATCCAAATGAAAGCGTGGGATCTCGGGGTGGACATGTAATACAATGAACATCTCTCGACAGTTTTCTGAGAGCCTTGATAATACTTAATATGATATATTTATTTATAAGATTCTATAAACCGATCTTTTTCAGATGATATGAGGTTGGTATAGATTTCCGTTGACGTTGTTGTTGGTGTTGTTGGTGTCAATAGCCAAAGTTTTGGAGATTTCCCCTTCCTCGGAGCCGTGCTGTTACGAGTGGACCTAATATGGCAGTTTCAGGTGAGGATGTTTCAAACATGCTTCTTACAACAAACTACTACTTGTGGAAAGTTCAAATCGAAAAGTGACTTTGATTCTTCCACCCTGAAGCTAGCTAACAGTAAAACAGCACTGGGAATAACTGCCACTCAAGATGAAACATAGTCATACAGTCGCAAACATTCTTTCAAACTTCAACATGCAATGAGTGCTTATAGTGACAGTTTGAACAACATTTAACTAGGCTTTTTCGAGTCTGTATGAAAAATTTACGTTCGCTGAGAAACATAGCAGGCTAGCGGTCCACGTTTTCCCAATATCTCGGCATGATTGCTCTGGTATTGCATACTTACTGGATTCTTGAACGGCTCGTCATCAGAAGTTGTGCAAACTCCAGGATAAGCACCATTTTTTAAAAAAGTTCTGGTTAAGCCACTGTGGTTTTCTGGAATCCTGAGGACAACCTGGCCAAAGTTTGCTCCAGGTCGTCGCCATGACAGGCAGTCGCAGCCTTTGTGGATCAGAGAAAGATTTACCATCATGCGACTTTGATACCGAGACGATGGTGGACCCTGGTATCGGCCTACTCTTAGCTAGGCTTCCTGATGAAAGCGCCGGACTCCTTCTCAGATTGGGAGACCTTGCCGGGGGGACGAAGCCCCCGCTGTACAACGCAGTTCGAAACCTAGGAACACCTTGTAGCCATGACGAGGCGGTAAACCGTTGGGAGGTGTTGTGGTATTTCACATAATAACTTGCCATGAAGAAATAATAGGACGTAAATAAAAAGTTAAGCGTAGCAAACTCTGTTTTTCGTACATTCGATTAACGTTACAGCGATGAAAACCTGAAGACCTACGCACGTTGCTCGAGCGCAACTCGATTCCGATCGATCACTGCGATTAGAAATCGACCGTCAACGGGATTGATTTGGTGAACCAAAATCGGCATTGAACCCAGCTAAGCTGAAGCTATAGTTACAATCACAATCTTAACCTTTTTTATTTTCAGCTAGTTCTATCGATCACTGCCACCAGCAATCACCCGTCAACAGGATTGATCTGGGGAGTCCAAAAAGGCAGTGGAAACGAAGGACCCGCATGGTGTGGTGGTGCGCGCGTTACTCCCCGCAAAGGACAATAGCGCGTTCATTCCCACCGCGGACACCTGCGTTCCGGAGTTTTGCAAATATCTCAGCATCATTGAAGTTATATTTCGCAATATACCCTACGGTTAGAAATAATAGGCAGTAAATAAAAAAGGTTAAGACAGAAATTTTGTTTTTGGCACCACCAATGGGTATACTTCAGGACTTCTTTGGAGAACAAGTTATGACAGAAGAAAAAACGATAAAGTTCTCAGCGGTGATCAATCCCTGAGAAATCCGCTATGCATCCCACTTCGCCAAGCATCGTTTGCGGTGATTAAATAGCCCAAAGAACTGCTGTGATTTACGATAGACCCAATTTAGACTATGTCTTGAAGTACACCTGCGTGCTGTAAAAGAAATGCTGAATTGTTGTCAAAAAATCCTTTTTGCGCATCGTTTCCGCTCGTTCACTCATCTTACATCAGTGGTTTCAATAAAACTGAAAGTCGAGATTATGTTTGCAAACAATAGTCACATCATCGGCTTCATTAACGAACCAAGTAACAAAGTAGCTTAAAAAGAGTGTTTTTAGCAAGTAGAAAAGGCTTTAGTCAGCAATTGTTCTAATCTTAGAAGTTATAAGAAGTCAAAGTCAGCATAGATGTGCAAGACCTTAAAGTTTTCAGTAACTGTGCTCACCCTAGATTTGAGAGGTGTAAAACTACGAAAGGATAATTACTAATATTTGATTAAGAAAAATTAGTGTGTGAAATCGCAGTATAAGTGGTATTTGAATTAAACAACGGTTTTCAGTGGCCTATCGATCTGCCAGTACCTTTATCCTCGTAGATAAGGCTTGGAGCAAATTGCCAGCTCCGAAGAAATGCTGCTTAGTAGGGATAATTTTCCACGTTACAGAGAATAGGATCTTATGAGCTTAACAAGTCGAAAAACATTTGCATATTCTTCTCAATTAATGAAAAATCGTTCCATTAGCAGGCGTTTCGGGATGTTGTGTAATTGCGATAAAATCTCACTAGCTACAGTTTTCGTTTACGCCTTTAAGTACGCAAATGTTTGAGTATTCACTACGAAAACAACGAACAACGGAAAAAGCTCATTGATTTAAATACATACGGGGCAACACAATAGCTTCTTTCAATTTTAAACCAACACTTCTCAGGTAACATTAGAAAGAAGCAGAGCCGAACGGCTCAATTGTATGTGGCTACTCGCATGGCACGACGGCTAAATTCATGTCGGCGGCAGTGGGTAATTCTAAGGCGATTAAAGCAGCATATAATGAAGAATGCTGGCTTTTAGACAGTAGATAATAATTTTCCACTAACTTGATGGCTTGTCAGGTTTAAAAACATGTCGCTCTCAGAGTTCATTTCATTAATTTAAGAGTACGCACTACTGTGGTTCACCATCTAATCATAGCTCTCAGCATTTGGAAGTATTTCTATGCTTATTTTGGATCTGTCCATATTTTTAATTGGTGATTAAGAATCGCATGCAAAAATTGAGCTCCAAGTCTGTTTTAGGGAAAAAAGTGACAATCCTCATAGGTTTCCATTACCTAATGGTCTCCAGGGGCTACCTATGGGTGCAAATGGTAAAAAGAGGAATAAATGCGCATCGTTCCTCAGATCCCCGTAGAGCTCCGATACGACGGGCATTGGTAGGACGAATAGGGAGACGTTGCTAAAATGTCATGGCCCTTCTAGGCTGCCTAAGTCTGGGAACACTAAGGTGACTCGTATGAAATGCTGAGATATTTGCAAAACTCCGGACCACAGGTGTATGCAGTGGAGAACGAACACGCGCTGTTGTCCTTTCCGGGGAGTAACGCGTTCACCACCACACCATGCGGGTTCTTTGTTTCGCCTGTCTCTCAGCTATTTCTATCGATCTTTGCCACAGCAATCACCCGTCAGCGGGATTGATCTGGGGCGACCAAATCGGCATAGAACCAAGTTAAGCTGCGGCTGTAGTTGAAATTATAGTAAGCAGAAAATAAAAAGGTATAACATTGTGATTTCAACTACAGCCGCAGCTTAACTGGGTTCTATACCGATTTGGGCGCCCCAGATCAATCCCGCTGACGGGTGATTGCTGTTGCAAAGGTCGATAGAAACAGCTGAGAGGCAGGCGAAACAAAATGAGTTTTGCAAAAATGGATGAATTCGAATAAATAGATTTTTTCAATAAATCCACTTATTTGTTGGCCGAGTCGTAATATGGCTACGAGTGACAGGAGAGTTTAAAGTTGAAATCTTCGTATGGATATGCTATGGATAATGGAGGCAGAATGCCAACGAAACATTATGTACTCTTGCACTACAAGGCAGTGTATACCTTCCAGTAAAAATTCGCACATGCTATTTCTGATTTTGAGCTTTCTACTTTACCTAAACCAAACATCGATGCTCGAACACCGCGAATTCTCGTGAGCCATGACCGTTGTCGTAGATGTAATAGATCGGGAAAAATTCTGCAGAGAAGTTTCCGCGATTCACGATTTCTCTGTAGTTTTTGAGAACAGTGGATACTGTAAAACAACGCTTACACCGAAATTACACTCCGAACGTAAATTTCTGGCTCTTCTCATATCTGAAATTTTCCTAACCTATTTACGATTTGGACGGGATTCCTGCGAATTTCACATGGATATCGCTGTGACAGTGACATGGAAAGATTGTTAAATCTTATTAATAACAACAATGATGATATGCAGCTCCACAACTCCGCTGATTCTAGGTCTGTGGCCAAACCACATTATTTTCTTAAAAACTAGCCCAACAAGAAGTAATGCGATGTTATATTATAGCAAGAATAATGATCATACCAACAGACACTACCGTTCTATGTTGCTACAGCGCTTCACCGGAGTCATGTGTTGTGCAGCACACGTCGATGACTACTCCGACTTCTTTGACAAGCAGTCACCAAATGCAAAGCACTATTCGTTAATTTTACAAAAACACAAGTCACCTCCGATTCATCCAGTTTTCTGAAACATCGCTTTTTTCGAGTGGGTGAGCGTGATGAAGGGTCAAACGAGCTGGGTTCGGCCGCTCTCTCTTAATTCGTCTAAAATATCTCAGTTTACAATATTCAGGCCCTCTGGCTGGTCACTAAACTCACCGATCAAACGTTACTTCTATTGTCGACCATCTCACATCACACACAACTCTACTTATATGAATACAATTGGTACACCAATGTATCAATTTGCAACTGATGTCCACTGAGATGAGGCATCAATTGGATGATTTGCACACAATAAGGAATGGCACTATGAGTTTAGAAAGCTGTGCTAACCAAAATCTGCCTAAGGAAAAAAGATGTAATGATAGGTCTGTTTCGTAGTACTATTACGAAGCTGAGTAAAGTATACAGGCGTCCGTTTGGAAATAGTGGTTCTCATTAGGTGCCAAGACGAAAAAAACTAACAAGGTTATGAGAAGGCCACCTATACCAAACATTCTAGCGTCCATTATTGACATTCGCTTTGATTGAAAAGCTGGTTACGGTATGTTTTGCTCTACTTCGCAGAAGCCAAAACAACTAAGTTGTTGAAAATGTATTGTGTAGAAGATTTCCAGTAGCTAAGTGCAAAGCGAGATACCGTCGAAAGATGTATATTGGTAACGTTCTCCCTCGTATTTTCTATCTTTGCGATTTGTTTATATTTTTATGTTCTACTGAAACGTGCCTACAGAACAGTAGTCAGAGGTGCCTGTCAATGCAATTGCATTCGATCCCACGACCAAGGCTCACCAAGGCTTTCACCCCTCAAGACCCCTTGAATTGGTACCAGACTTGTCTGAGAGGATAGGAGCACTGCCTCGATACATCGGTATGCTTCCGCGAGTCATTGTAAAAGCCAGATATGCATTCAATCACTTCCAACCACACCTAAGGAAATCGAGAGAATGACGCATCCTTTAGCGACTGATCAAAGCGGATAGATTTATCCTTTTTTACCCTACGTACAGTACATCTATTTCACTTTTTTGGCACTTCAAAACTTATTTTGTTCATATTCCTTGTTCGCTAGTGCTGGTTGTTGTGTAATGTTAAACGCTGCATTTTATGGATTCTTTCATTGAAACGACACAAATGTATACCGAATTAAATAACCCTGAATAAAGTACAACTCTTTCCTTTACTGAAAGCTTTTCGATCAATTTCTTCCACAGATCCTGATTAACCCATGTACTTCGGAATTTTGAAACCGTTTAGAACCTCTATATTACCACTATAGAAACAAAAGTTGCCTAGCAGAACAGACCTAGAACAGCACATTCAACATTTCAATGAGAATAGAAGACAGTGGCTCCTAAAGCAACAGCAATCTCACCCGCGATTGCGACAACTTCTATACACGTTAACACAGCGAAACGAATTGAGAAGCTGCCCACGTCCGAACGACGAAGGTGGGTCACCTAATCTCTGTAGGGCTGTAAACAAAGTTGTTGTGAAAGACTATGAAAGGGTAATTTATTGTCATTTCGGCTTGCTGCGTCGTGGTGATCATCAGACTCCAAATTACTGCCGTTCTTGAACTATCCTTTCTAGCTATTGAACCACCCCCTTATCTACTAAAGTATAGCCTACCGTGAAGACCTCTGAAAGCCTTACTTCATACTTGATACTTGAAAGACCCATCCTCACTAGCTGTGCGGGTCCCAGCATAATCTCCACTTTCCGGAGATTTGCTGGTTAAATCATTACGGTTCCCTGGGGTCCCGAGGTCAGCCTAGACAAACTCTGCCCCAGGTCTTCACCACCACGAGCAGTTGCAGCCCTCGTGGATCAGAGGGATATTTACCACCATGCGACTTTGATATCA